ATACTGATGAGACTCAGGTTGCAAGTACTGTATATTAGTGGTACTGAATTGTCTGACCGCAGTTATTTGTACTTTATCTTTCTGTGATGGAACTAAGCTCTCCATTATTTTGGTTAGATAACTGAAGAAACCTTACCCTTTCCTTGATTGCCCCCCCCCCCTCCTCCTAAAAAACATTGGGACAACCCTGCTTCCCTTCCCAAAATACTAGCTGCACCTCTGTCCACTGTGCATTTTGGCTTCTCACATTGTCAGCTGATCTCCCATAAAGTCCCAGACAAATGACAGTAACTTTTGTCTGATACTACTTTCAACAATGCAGTTCTATGAAATTCCTTACCAAACGGAAAATAATAACAGTAGAAAAGGCACTGTAATAAATATAATGTAAATAATATATATAGTAAGACATTATTTTGGCCAAACCACTTAAAATAAGTTAACCCATTCGTGACGGGTGTCACGTATCCGTGACATGCCCATTGTGAGTTTACTTGTTTAATTGTTTTTATACATTGATGGCTACACTTGTACTTGTACTGCCTATCTCGCCCGTTTACCCTTTTCTTTGATTTATGAAAATATTTTATGTTATCTTATTTTGTTGTTATTAATGTTTATAACATTATAGTAATTATAATGTTTATAATAAAAATACCCATCAATATTCATAGCACTAGTAAAATATACATTTTCCCGCCAAATGAAATCAGGTAAGGCAGAGCCATCTATGTGTAGAGACATTTCACAAAAAATATAAAAAATGAGCACAGCATTTTTCTACTTTTTGTTCATTTTTACCTAGCGTGAATGGGTTAATAATAGATTGTAAAGGAATATGTAAAAATATTAAAGAAACCTTGCTACCTGCTTATATTGTTCCAATGGACACTTTTTCTGATGAGTCATACTAATGAGAGACATTGTAAGGTGTGGAGTTCTTTCAATATGTGGTATCCCTCTACTTAATGTTCAGATTATGTGATTTTTCATGTTACCCAATCATATTTTCTTTGGTTTAAAAAGAAGACCAATAGTGTGACTGTTTTCTCTTAAAAATATACCAAAAGTTTATAAACCAAAGGTTTTGAGTTTAAACAGCTTTACTGAAAGTTATACATTGTACGATAACTAAAGTTGCAACAAGCCTGGGGCATTCTATCCATTCTAAGGAATATCGAGCTATTGAAAATTTGTACAAATAAACCATATTGTTAAAAAAAAAAGAAAAAAAAAAGATTCCAAAGATACCGTTCAATAATGATTTCATAAGACTTTGATTATACTTATATTTCATGATTACTATTTTCCAAAGTGCATAATTTTTTTTTCCCTCTTATTTTAAAAAACAAAAGTAGAAATATCAATCATAAATTTGATTGTTCTCTGTATCAGAATGCTAAGGACAATCAGGTGCACATGATATGATAAAGATAGAGAATGAAGATAGATGAAATAGTAATATTGCACTTAGGGACTAGTGTTTTGCAGGGCGTTGAGGTTGCAATGGAACTTTCTACGGCATGTGCTTCGATTCTGTAGTGTTTTGTGGTTGGATAGAAGTAGTAGCTCAGATATTATTTATTTTTGTGTTTCGTTTTGAATTCTACCTCAGACTATTTTATTTAAATTTGAGTATATTGGGTTTTCTTTCCCTTTTTCATTGTTTCTCTTTTATTTCATTGAATTTGCTTTTATTGAATTACCTGTTATTATCAAAGAGAAGGACATATTTGTGTCATTTGGTATTTGTGTGGAATGTTCCTATCCTCACACCCCTCACAGCTATTTTTTTTGTAAGTTATGTCTATTGTGGAAGTAATACAATCTTTCTTCTTTTCAGTAAAAAAGTACCCAAGAAACCATCATTCTTGAAGAGGGACCTGGATGCCCGAGCTCATTCTGACATGTACCGTAGTAAGTTCAGGTAAGTACGGGTTGCTACATTATTATAATTTTGTTTTTGTTTATTTTTCTTGTATGCAAAGCTCTTTATGTATTTGTTTTCAAGATTATTAATCAGTAGTATCTCATAAATAAAAAGCAAATGCAGCGTTTATGCAAAGAGACACCATATTATTTTCATTCCTTGCAGATTACCACTGAGTGAGAAACTAGATGGTTCCACTACGTGTTCTCTCTGGACTCCTTACAGAAAGGTTTATGTCAGTGGAACCTTATATATTTCTTTCAACTATATCTGCTTCGACAGCAAGGTGAGGACTAGCAGTTTGTATTTCTTATGTTAAGATTAAGCTACTGATGGAGATGATTTGAAATTCTCTTTACCTTTGTTTTGGAAAAAATCTTTCTCTGAGGTCTGGGTATGAGATTTAATTGAATATTTTTGAATATCAGAGAAGAGTATTTAGTAGCATATAAAAAAGAATAAAATATTTAAAAGCAGTTCACAAAAATATTCATTGGTAATGGAACATCAGAATTTATAACAGATCATAATTTATTAATCAGTGTAAGAGTGAAAGAGCATCCTTCTTCAATAACATCAACAACTGAAATAACAATAACAATAACAATAACAATAACAACAACACATGTAATAGCAATAACAACAACATCAACAACAGCAACAAAATCATGCTATATCCCCTCCAGATTGCCAACCTAGTGAGTGTGGTATGTCCTTTGCGTGATGTGCACAGTGTAGAGCGTGTGGATAGCGTAAAAGGAAACGCGACTGTGAAACGTGCTCTGTTCATCTGTACAACACAGTCCAGCTCAACCAACTCCTTCCTGTTTATTGATGTTGGGGATCGGGACTTTGTCATAAACAAACTGTCTGAGATGTTGGGCAAGAGTATTCCCACAAAAAAGTAAGTGAATCTTTTTAGAAGATTAGTAGATATTTGGAAAGGTAATTTGTTTATCAAGAAATAAATAACATGATTGTTCTATCATGTTGAATGTACAGATGTAAGACTTTGATTTATCATTATAGAAATAGTGTTTATAGTTGTTCATGGCTAAATTTGAAATAGTTGAGAAGAGTTGTACCAAAAAAGGCAATAAGAATTGAATTATTTTCCTTTATGTAAATTCACAAGTACTGTAGTTATTAATCAGGAAACATATAAATAGCCAGAGAAACAGGGAATACAAAACAGAAAAAGAAAAACTCATTTGAAGTGTTATTTACTCAATTCAAAATCTACTAGCTAAACAATATCAGTAAAACTCTTATTTAAGATGCTGTATGTTTAGTTTTTGGACTACAGAAAAGGAATTGTCATCAGATGCTCTGTAAAAGTGTTATTTGTAAGTTTCATATATCTGACAAAGGAGTTAGAAAGAAAAAAAAAGTTTGATGCTGTTTTCATGTCTAAGGCCTATCTTTCTTTCCTAGTGCTCTTCCAGATCATCTGTCCTTTGGGAGTTCTAAGGTTGGCAGTCGTTCCAACTCGGTCTGTGATGACAGAAGTGAAGACATCAGTCTCAGCAGTCTGAGTGAGTATCTTGTGTCGTTTTCATAACTAGATTTAAGCAACTGGCTGAAATGTTAATTTTCCAGTGAGTGTAAGTTGGATAGAGTTTGTTAGTTTAGGATATTTGTTCTGAATATTATTTTCTTTGGCCCTGGGCTTTTCATGTCTGTTTTTTAAACAAAATATTTTTTCATTTGTTATTATTTACTGCACGTTAGAGGGTTTCAAAACACATCGGTACTAATAGAAATATCTTTGGAAATGTACAATTTTTCAACAAGTGAAAGTTGGTCATATAATTTACGATTAACATATGGGATTATTTGTTTCTGTATTCTCATTCGGTCTCACAATTCTATCTTTTACTAACAGGTTTAGGCAGTACCGCTGATAGCAACACCACTCTGGTGTCAGAAACTCCTGAAGCAGAAACCACAACCCTACCCCTGAGAGCTCTCTGTCCTGTCCTTGATGAAGATGTGGAAGTGAGAGCTAAGATTTGCTATGAACCATTTGATATACTGATTTAGATATAGGATAGATATTTGTAGGCTAAAATAAGCTGGGTGTAGTCATTAAGAGATAGGTAGATGATGATGCAGAATGCAGCATTACTTACTTTTATTTCTGTGCCTCTGTTTGTTTATTTTATGTAGTGACAGTAGCACTATGATGTTCAAACTTGTATAACTAAACTTGTTAACGATGTCCATTACTCCACTGTCAACTATTGAGATATCTTTTGATTATTAATAATGTATAATAGAACAACACTAGCACTTTTTTCACTCCTGTCATTTTTCAAGGAGGAAGAAAGAGTGAGAAGAAAAGAACACATTTGGGAGAGACACTGGGCAGAGTATGGCCGAGGGGTCACCATGTACAGGACTGTAGAAACAGCTCGCCTCGTCCTGGAGGGCCTTCCGGACTCCATGCGGCCTGAAATATGGATGGTGTTTTCTGGTGAGTTAACTATTAAATAAGTGGAGCAGATCATATTCGAGAGTGTCAGCCAAAAGTCATTGTAGAGTCAAACCCCAAGCAAAAGATTATCAGTATGTGATTAATTTACAAACATTATTGTCATATACAAAACTGAATTGACTGAGGATGCGATGTGTCTTACAGGTGCTATCAATGAAATGGCAACCAACGTAGGGAGTTATGAACAGGCTGTGGTAGCGGGACTGAAGAGAGGGGGTCCTGCTAATGACGAGATCGAGAGAGACCTACACCGTTCCCTTCCAGAGCACCCTGCGTTCCAAAGTGAAATGGGGATATCTGCACTAAGACGTGTTCTCTGTGCTTATGCCTGGAGGAATCCTGCTATTGGTTAGTATTTAGACTATGTTTATGTAGGTGGACTGATAAAGTATCTTTAAGATAGTGGAGATCTTAAGATTTGTACAAGTGGAAGAGTTTCTTTATTACAGAATGCTGGTTTGGAATCTTCATTATATGAAATATGTCAGCTGTGTAGTTCTCTACAGTACTGTATGATTAAGAGAAAAATTACTAACAAAAATGTTTCATGCTGCTTGCTCTGTATTTCCATTA